TCAAAAGCAAACTGCAGTAGTATTCTGGCAAATTCAAGAATCGTCTTCTATTTATTTATTTATTATTTTGTTTTTATTATTTGCTATTTCATTATACTTTAATTACTTAATTAAAGTTATCTACTTTCTTTAATTAAAGGCAGCCATTTTGTTCTATCAAAAGATGCATGATACATATGCACATAAGGAATTAAAAAGAATTCAAACTTATGGAACACAAGATTCATTCTTTTATAAACCCTTCATTTTCTATTCCTTTAATTCTTCAACCCTACATTCTTTACAAAATTGATTAATATGTTATGTAAAACCTAGGGATGGGTACGGTTTGGTTTGGTGCGGTTTTGAGTAAAACCGAAACCGAAACTTTTTGCGGTTTGGTTCGGTTCGGTACGATTTTGGTTTAATTTTTAAGAACGAAATGTACATTTTAAAATATATACCTATCTACGCATATGACGATCTAATTTTCTACACAATACATTAATTAATGAACACATGTTAACACTGAGTACATTGAGTGAGGATGTTTTGATAATCTATTTCCCTCCAAAATTAGGACAATATATGCACAAACAAACTTGCAGCAACTATATATGCAGCAAGCAAACTTGATGCAAGCAAACATGCAACAAATGATAAATGATGAAATTCTAGTGTGGTTGAGTAGATACTAAATGTATGGAACTCTAACAAACAACCAATTAAAACATGACATCTCATATGGACATCTAATTAAATGTTTATTAGTATTTGCGGTGTGGTTTTAAAAGCCAAAACCGAAATCAAACCGTTCCCTACAATGTGGTTCGATTTCAAAACCGCAAAACCCAACTGTTTCGTGCAGCCCAATTTGATTCGTGTTTCAGTTTTGATTTTTGGTTCCAAATGCCCACCTCCAGTAAAACCGGAAAAACAAAAGATTATGAGTTGCTATTTCCTTGTCTACAAGGGTTGCATCTTTGCAAAAGGTGAGGAAGAATATATAATAAAAAAATTTCATAGGTCTTTATCGTAACATAATGCCAGAGCTGTTCTCCCGACCATTCTAGATGATGAAGATCCGGACTTAAACAATGACCTATATAATGAGACAAAATTAATGAAAAAAAAAGGTTGGCTTAAAAGTTCAGCCCATCCTATTTTTAAATATTTGAGTCGTATCCGACCATACAACGTGTCGAAAAGAAAAGGTCTATTAAAACTCCACAATTTGTTTTGTTACTTTTGTATCGCTTCACAAAATAGTAAAAGGAAATACTCATTAGCTTTGTTGGAGATGCTTTTAAGTGGCATTTGAAAACTACTAGTGCATATCTTGGTTCACTAGCTATCACAACATTGGGTCCTCCCCACAAAAAGTCTCGGCCACCACTTCAAATTATTTTGATTCATACTATGTTTTTATACCATTTTAAGTAACATCTGATCTGAACAGTCAAATTATTTGAAAAATTTGCAAAACTCAAGGAAATGAAGGAGAAAAGCTCCTCATATACCACAATCATCATTTAATTAACTAATTATTCTTAATTATTAGTTTATTAAATAATGAACTAAATTTAAAAATTTAATTAATTCAAATGATATAACTTTCCATATCAAATGTCATCCAAAATGATATGAAAATATAGTACAAAAACATAGTAAGAATAGCATTACTCAATTATTTCAATCCACTGTGAACAAAAATGCACCGCTTTTAGGAGGCAGATTCTCTGCCCTCCCACTTCTGTGTCCTCCTATTTGTGTGGTAACGGTTAGACCACGTTAATATTTTATATTACTATTTTTTTTTGTCTTATTATCTTTATAAAAAAATAATATAAAATATTAACATGATTTAACTGTAATTACAAAAACAAAAAGATACGAGAAGTGGAAGGGCAAAGAATCTGCCTGCAGAAAGTAGTCACCAGAAGTTTTCCCCTAGAGTGTTCGCTATTTCGTAAAGAAAAAATTGACAGGTTGAGAGGTTTGAAAACTGACCTTTAATTATTTTGCATTACTTTGCCTACAAATATTTGATTTTCACGTTGATTTTTGAATTGTCATTTTTGTGGCTGTCTCTTGTAATATTCCATAATCCTGTTTAATAAAGCATCTGTTACCCCGACAAGACAGATTCTTATTTTGCCCGGCAGGTCTATTTTGCATAATTAGGACTGCAATTAGCTAGCCAGCCAGTAAATAGTTAAATCATGGTGAGTTTAAACTTTTAATTTCGCAAAAATACTATATTTATTATGTATTTGTATTATTTTTCTAATAAAAAGAAATCTACATGTGTTAGTAGGCCCTCCTTTTATTGAAAAAATGGCATAAATAATTATACAAATATATGATAAGTGTGACATTACTTCTCTTAATTTAACAAAAATGTTACATTTACTACATATTCGTATCATTATTTGTATCATTTCTTGAATAGAAATGTGATCTATATGTATTGGTAGATCATACATATATTAGAGAGATGATACAAATATGTAGTAAGTATAATATTACTCTTAATTTAAGTTGTTTATCATTAATTTTCGTTAATTGGTTACATTATGGTAAAGTTCACCATCAGAAGAGATTTTTTAATGTGTTCAGAACACGAGGCAAAACACTACATGTTACTATTCAATTGGAGAAATGTTTTTATTCCAAACATCCCTTCAATTATATAACGAGGTATGAATGTGGGATTTCGCCTCATATTTTGAATACCCTAAAAAATCAAATTTGGATCCTATTTGGATCCAAATTGTGGGGATTCTAAGGATCTTCATATCTTGGTTATTTATCGTGCATCGTACGATTATAAATTATTATTTATTTAAAATTAAATATAAATAATATCTTACGAAAACTGATTGTACGATCTGGAAAGAGGATCCTCTTCCTGAAATATCTACCCACCAACATGATGACAAAGTTGTTAAAGTGGTTATCAACTGGACAAGATAACTACTCTTTTGTTTCTATTACGAGGGCGTCACATGCAATGCGTCACTAGTAGTTAGTGCTCATTTTTCCTATTGAATAATATATAATAAATAAACAAATAAATAAAAGTACAGTGTTGATGATATGGACAAGCGATGAAAAGTCGGAGAAATTGACCCAACATTTTTTGTTCCAAAGAAATTGATTCAACATTTACCACGGTTCAAAATTAGGTTTGGTTCTTGAAGATTTTAGATGGCTGGATTTCGTTGGCATAAAAAATACAAAGATTGATATGAAGTATCTTATATCTGTGTATGCATAGTTAAATACAGTACGAGGAAATTTATTTTCTATATATCCAAGATTTGTCCAACTTAAGCGAATCTTTTTTTTTTAATACAATGATTTTTACATTAAAAGAAAAAGAAGTTCGGTTAAGCTACACAACGAACAACTTAATTTAGTATCGAATTCGCCATCTAAGGGATTCAAACCTAAAATTTATTACTTTTAAGTGAAGAAAAATATCATTAGAGTGTAATACTAAATCTCACTAATCTAAAGAAAATGACAAGAATTTTGGACAACAAGAAAAGGAGGAGAAACTTACTGGAAGACATGTGCTGGACTTGGACCTAGCCAGCTATGTAGCTATGTGTAATTACATAACACAGCCTTTTGCAATAATACAATAAGTACTCATAGTGTAACTCTAATATGGACAATGATTTTCTCCCCTCCTAATCTCTCTCATCTTCTCTCTCTTCTATTTGAATGGTTACGGTTTAGCTACGTTATCATCTTATATTGATTTTTTTATAAAGACAATAAGACAAAAAATAATATGTGAAAGGAGGGGGAGGGAAGGGGATAAGAATAGAATGAGAGAAAATCTTACTTTCTCTGTTATAGTTGTTAAGTGACATGTAAGAGAGAGTTATTACTGACCGTCAAAAATTGAAAGAAGTGCTTAAGAAGTAAAAATGAATACGTGCAAAGCACCGCTATTATTTAAAATGCTGTTTGAAATTTCTTAATTTCTTATACATGGAGTATCCCTTCCGCTAACATCTTCAACTCTAGTTTCCTTTTCATGCTAACTAAACAACTACAATGAGGGCAGCTAAAATTGAAACCCTAATATACAATACTATGTCATTACAAATAATTAAAATAAAAAATAAATTGAAACACTACTAGCTGAAGCCCTGTCAAACCAGCCAAGATTCAAAGTACACAAATGATATGTTAACAAAGTATCAATTGTTAACAATCAATTAACATTAATTGCGAACCACCACAGGATGCCTAGTGGTTGGGACGAGTTTCTGACTGTATTTTATACGACATGTTCTAAATTCGATTTCAAACGTTAATAAATTACTCAATGATGGTCATAGAAAGTTGAAATGCATGATGAAACACTTGCTGATCGTTTTTATAAAAAATAAAAAATAAAAAAAACCATTAATTGTGCATTCAATTTCAATTCTACTGAGTAATGAATATGAATTAAGGTGTTGGTGATGATTGACTTGTGCGTAAAGTAATCAGGAAATATGTATTTTTTTTCCATGGAAATGGATCAAATGATTTCCAACTTTTCCCAACAAGCCAAAGATTTTATTGGAAACATGAAGATATATCTGGTTACTGAAGTAGGATTTTTTTTTTTCTGTTTTTTTTTTCTTCTATTATATTTAAACGATTATGTTTAAATTACGTTAATATTTTATATTAATTTTATATAAAAAAAAAAACGAAATAAAGTATGTAAGAGGAAACGAGGAAAAGAGATGAAAAGAAAAATGCGAGAGAATTCTAGTGCCTCTGGTTACTTGTCAGCGTGGGCTTCTAAGACCAATCAAGATTGACCCTCCTCGTGAATCACATGGTAGTAAAATATTCATAAAGTAAAACACCTACTTGCCCTTGACAAATATAATGCTAACCCTAGCAATCATTTTCTGTTAAACTTAAAAAGTTTAAAATCTCCACTTGCTTTTACATACGAAACTTTGCTCTCTGCGTCATTCAGCACTGAGTTGCTCCACCACCTCTTTTGATCATTGTCTCTAATGGCGGCCATTTCTTTATCCAGTACAGTTCTTCCCTTCCCGAAACTCAACTTATCAGCCCACAAAGCACACCCCTTTGGAACCTCAAACCCATCAAAACTCACCCTTTCCACCTCCACCGTCGCCCCCAGAGTCCTCCACTCAAAAGACACCGACTCCTTCACCTCCATCATCACCGACCTCGGAAAAGAAAGAGCCCAGAACAAAAATGAACGGCAGACCGACACCAACAGTACCACTCACGAAAACGAGCGTCGTTTATCCGATACTTGGCGGGAACTCCACGGCCAAGACGACTGGGTCGGGTTACTCGATCCGATGGACCCGCTCCTCCGATCGGAGCTCATCCGCTACGGCGAGATGGCCCAGGCCTGCTATGACGCCTTCGACTTCGACCCCTTCTCCAAGTACTGCGGCAGCTGCCGCTTCACGCGCCGCGACTTCTTCGAGTCCCTCGGCATGGCTCACCATGGCTACCACGTCTCGCGCTACATCTACGCCACGTCCAACATCAACCTCCCCAACTTCTTCAAGAAGTCACGCTGGCCGAAAGTCTGGAGCAAAAACGCCAACTGGATCGGATACGTGGCCGTTTCAGACGACGAGACGACAGCCCGCTTGGGCCGCCGCGATATCAGCATCGCGTGGCGGGGCACCGTCACCCGCCTCGAGTGGATCGTGGACTTAATGGACTTTCTAAAGCCAGTTTCCTCGAACCGGATACCTTGCCCGGATCCCACCTTGAAAGTCGAATCCGGGTTTCTGGATCTTTACACCGATAAAGACGAGACGTGCCGATTCTGTCAATACTCGGCGAGGGAGCAGATTTTAACGGAGATGAAGCGGTTGGTGGAAAAATACTCGGACGAGGAATTGAGCATCACGATTACCGGGCACAGCCTTGGGAGCGCGTTGGCAATTTTGAGCGCGTACGATATAACGGAAACGGGTTTGAACGTTACGTCAGACGGGCGTGGGGTGCCCGTATCCGTATTGTCGTTTGCGGGTCCTCGGGTCGGGAACGTCCGGTTTAAGGAGCGGCTCGAGTCGCTGGGGGTTAAGGTGTTGAGAGTGGTGAACGTTCACGATGTGGTCCCTAAGTCGCCCGGTCTGTTCTTTAACGAACACGTGGCGCCGAGGCTTATGAAGTTGGCCGAGGGCTTGCCGTGGAGCTACACACATGTCGGGGTGCAACTTGAGTTGGATCACAAACACTCGCCATTTTTGAAGCCGACTAATGACCCAGTTGGCGCGCATAATTTGGAGGCTCACTTGCATTTGCTCGATGGGTTAGTAAAAAATGATTAACAATATTATCAGTAAATGTGAACGTATTATATTTTTTGGTTGACAATTTAGACAAATTACAAATTTACATAGCTATTTGGACTTTAAATTTAGGGTTTCGATTCTCATTATTCAAAATTAGGACCACCTACAAAATAAAATTATTAGATATGAGTATCGAAATATCTTTCGTGTTTCGAGTTTAACTTGGTAGGATGTGACTTTGAAATTAATTGATAAGATCATGCGCTCGATATATCTATAAAATTATTAGATTATGATCATACTTGTAAGTAAATATTTCACCAAATAATTTATAAATTGTATTTTAAAATAGAGAAAACAACTGTGTGAAAATTACGTGAATAATTGCGTTAAAAACAAGAAGAAGAGCGCAAACAGAGAAAATGATAGTGTGAAAATCACGACGATCAGGAGAAAACAATAGGTATCCACCATGTGAATAGCGGTCTATGTTGACTGTGTTTAGTGCATGCCATAAACAATGATTAATCAACAGTCATTTAATTAATTAACCGTTGTTAATTTGATTACGTAATTTTTCATGCAGGTACCATGGGAAAGGGCACAGATTTGTGCTTGCCAGTGGAAGAGACCCAGCATTAGTGAACAAAGCCTGTGATTTTCTGAAAGATCATTACTTGGTTCCACCTTACTGGAGGCAGGACGAGAACAAGGGCATGGTGAGGAGCAAGGACGGCCGTTGGATCCAGCCTGAACGCCCGAAACTCGACGACGATCATCACCCCGAAGACATACACCACCATCTCAAGCAGTTAGGCCTTGCTTCTGACCATTAATTAGCAATTAGCAATCCGATCTTCTTCATCTGTTTAGTGGGGTTTATATGAAGATTGTTAATGTTTGGTTTTTAGCGAAAAAATGTAATAAAACGTAGAGTGCTGTTACGGTGCACGAAATTTCAATACACATACCATTTCGTCAATAATAATCTCAAAAGAAAAGAGAACCATTGCTGTAGTAGTGTTCTCGAAAAATACTATTATGATGGCAAGTAGTTATGTTATATCGATATCATGTTAATATTTTGTCACTATAATGAAAAACCACGCAAAGGATTTGAGAGTCGTTAAGGGCAATTATTCATGCATCCTTAATTTCATTTGAAATGCCCCTATTTTCCAATTCCAATACTGCTTTTATAAAAAGAAAAAAAGAATTATGCCATCACAATTCACAGGCTTAGGATATACGATCATAAATAAATTTATTTACAATGATACAAGTGAATTGGTAATACTATATGATGATTTAACAATCACAATTAATTTTTTTTTTTAAAATGTTATTGGGTAGGCCTAGAGTTGAGGCTACAAGTATATAAAGCCCAAATACCGTTTGACCGAAGGAAAAGCCCAAATTCCTACGACCTCGTTCGGCTTGCAACCCTTGCCTCCAACCCCAAACCCAACGACCCCCCTTTTCTCTCTCGTTTCACTCGAAAGCTTAGCTCTGTTCTCTGCAACCGCTGCTCTCTGCCGTTCCGCGCCGCCGAAGCTCGCCGTCGTCCAAAAGACTTCATCATCGTGGTAAATTGTTTTTCTTTTTGGGTGTTTGTTCTCGGTTCCGTTTCTGGCTGAAATTAAATTTATTTTTTCCTTTTTTTGGCTTTTTTTTTTTTTCATTTTATTTTATTTTGTTTTTGTTTAATTTCTTAAGCCTTGTTTGTATTTCCTTTTGCAATTTTTCAATTTTTCAATTTGACTGTTGATATGCATAGATTTTCTGGGTTTTTATTTATTTTTTGAGTTTATTTGCTTACAACTTCAGGAGTTTACTATTAAAATAATTTTGGGGCAAGGGTTTTGTAATCCTGCACCAGAAGTTCTGTTCGAACTCTGCTCCCCCAATATTGCTCGTATAAAAAATCGTAGTTTCGGAACTTGTCCTAGTTGCCAAGATGAGATTTTGAATAGTTTGGTCATTCATAGTACGAATTGTATTACTTCAGTGAACGTTTTGGAAGCTGTTTTGGCTGTTACTATTAGATTACGTGACCCGGGTTTCACTGAATTTGCAGAATCAGAGACGAATTGTTGTTGCGAAAAGATGAGTTTAATATCGCAGAATGTTCCTTCCGGTTTTAAAGCCAACAAGGCTAAAAGGGATGATGATGGCGCTGACGAGCCTTTGTTTCTGCAAGGAAATGAAGACAATGGGGATGGACAAGCAATGGGTTTGGATATTATGAGGACGAAGAAAAGAAAGAAAGCGCGTAAGGAAGATGATGAGAAATTGGTGGTGGAACAAAAAGAAAAGGAGCAGCTGGAGGACTCATTGTTTGGAGCCATTAATTCCCCACTTGAGTTTGGGAAGGAGGATGAGGAAGAGGTTGGAGATGGAGCGGATTTGTTCTTCGTGGACCGTTCTGCCAATGGTGTGCGTTCGGTTGATGAAGAGGATGGAGAGTTATCAGAAGAGGAGACCCAGGAAAGGAAACCTGTGTGGGTAGACGAGGAAGAGGAGATGACCAAAATAAATATTGCTAAAGTTAATAGGTTAAGGAAGCTGAGGAAGGAGGAGGAGGAGAGTTTGATTTCGGGTTCAGATTATGTGTCGAGATTGAGAGCTCAGCATGCTAAGCTGAACCCAGGCACAGAATGGGCTCAGCTTGATCGACAAGTGCGGGAGAGTATTTATTCTGATGATGAATCATCCGATGAACAGAATCAGGTAGCAGTGGCCCGTGGCTTCAAAGGTGTAGACACTGTTGATGATCTCCTTCGAACGAATGAGGATCTTGTTGTGAAGAGCAGTTCAAAGTTATTACCTGGACTTCTTGAATATTCAGCACTTCTAAATGCAAATGCAGAGGAACCTTCAAATGGTCCGATAAACTCAGTGCAGTTCCATAGAAATGGGCAGTTGCTTCTTGCTGCTGGGTTGGATAGAAGGCTTAGGTTTTTTCAAATTGATGGCAAGCGGAATACTAAAATAGAAAGCATCTTCCTTGATGACTGTCCCATTCGAAAGGCGGCTTTTTTGCCTGATGGGTCGCAGGTTATTATAGCTGGAAGGAGGAACTTCTTTTACAGCTTTGATTTAGTGAAGGCAAAAGTAGATAAAATTGGTCCCCTGGTTGGTAGAGAGGAGAAAAGCTTGGAATGTTTTGAAGTTTCCCCTGATTCTAGTACAATTGCCTTTGTGGGCAATGAAGGCTATATCCTGTTGGTGTCCTCGAAAACGAAGGAATTGATCCGAACACTGAAGATGAATGGAACTGTTCGTTCTTTAGCTTTTACCAATGATGGGAAACAACTGTTGAGCTCCGGTGGAGACGGACAGGTTTACCACTGGGATCTGAGAACTGGGGCTTGCATCCATAAGGCTGTTGATGAAGGTTGCATAAATGGTACATCTCTTTGTACATCTCCAACCGGAACATTGTTTGCTGCTGGTTCAGACAGCGGGATTGTCAACATCTACAATAGAGAGGAGTTTTTGGGGGGAAAGAGAAAACCCATCAAGACCATCGAGAATCTTACAACGAAAGTAGACTTTCTCAAGTTCAATGGCGATGCCCAAATACTGGCCATTTGTTCGAGCATGAAGAAGGATAGCTTGAAGTTGATACATGTTCCATCATTTACTGTTTTCTCCAACTGGCCTCCGCCGAGAAGGTCCATACATTATCCCCGCTGTTTGGATTTCAGTCCCGGTGGAGGTTTCATGGCTGTGGGAAATGCTGCTGGAAAAGTGTTGTTGTACAAGTTGCATCACTACCATCACGCATAGAAGGAATGCTAAGAAAACCAGTATATGGTCACCAGGATCTTGTTTCCTTCGTTTCAGAAGATTCGTTTGCCCGTTCAACGACGATCTGATTGTATCATCCGCTGTATCAATGCAGAAAGGTTTTGCAGCTTTTGACCTTTTATTTCTGTTCGAACTTCGAATGTGTTGCACCAAACTTTAATGGAAAATTTTGAATCATTTATATGTCCATCGCAGTTGTTTTTATCTTTCTGTCAGAAATTTGTGCACACATATATTCCGAGCCGAAGTGAAAAAATGCATTTATTTATAAGAAAACTAGTTGGACAGAAAATAAATAATTTTTATTTTGCATTTTATTTTTTCAATAATTTGTAATAGGCTTGTTGGATGCTTGAATTAACACTTATTATATGCTTGTTCCTTAAGCTTTCAATATGTTTTAATATTTCTTTTTTGGTTCTACCTCTTATTTTTTATGAAGAAAATGAATCTTTTTATCGAATGATTGTAAAAAAAAGGGTCTGGACCCCAATATACATGTCATTCTATTTTATAATTTATGTATCTGAATCCAAGTATTTATTTTTCTTAGGTATAAGTAGACATTTATATATAATAAATTTAAATAAATTGACAAACCTCCTAACCTCACCTAAACGCCTAGACGCTCATGTCCAGCGTCTTTTTGAACCATGTTAATTACAAATGGCCACTTAATTATGTTCTCAATGCCACATATACAAAATAATATTAATATAATTTCAAAATATTGTTGTCGAAAATTTATGAATAAACGATTACTGATAAAACATTGTTTTTCTTCTTTTTCATTGTTATTTTTGGATTGTAATTTGACTTAATATTATTATCTGTTTTATTCTAAATGATGCATGGTTGTATATATTTGACGTGGATTACAAAAGTGATCTACAACAATGTAGTGTTTTTATAAGGGGTACTTGTCCCTCTTATATGGAAGGGGATCATATTTGGATCCCTTTTCACCTAATCCACTTAATTCGGGATCCGGACTGTTGAAATTTGATCCAACTACTACAGTTATTATCATTTTTAAAGGGATTCCTTGTTTATAGCTGTTTGGTCAAATTTTAAATGTCTCGATCCCAAACTAGGTGAATTAGGTGGAAAGAGATCCGGAGAGGATCCCTTTCCCTCTTATATAGGCACTTAATGAGCTCCAAAAGTTATGGGCTCTCAAGTACTTCACAACTTTAGCATTAAATGAAATAAATGTAGACATGACTTATTGACTACACCTCCATTATTCAATCGACACATAGAAATGAAGTAACATTTGCTCAGGGCTAGTTGCAAAGTTTCATGGGAACGAGCACCGGGCACTTCACTCAGCCTTGAGCGGCCGAGGAAGCACTTTTCCGAGCACTAGGTTTGATAACCTTTACGTCCCTTCATAGACTTTTGCCCTTGTCAATGGGCAACGCGTGACTTGGAGTTGATGTTTGGGCAACCCTTTTTTTGGAGATTCCTATCGTAAAACTAAGGTCTACCACTGAGTTTGTTTTGAGGTACAATCTTATCATGTAAATTATGAGAAAATTTATTTAAACCTATATAACTTCATTCTACACTGAGTATGGGCTTAAATTACGAGAAATTTTACTTGATCTCTGATGAGTCGATATTATCTATATATTTTATCCTAATCTTAGTAATAATTTATTAGTTATTATGTGTGAATTTTGATACTTTGAATTATATTTCTAATGTAAGACATTCGACTTCCTCTGGAGGAAAAAGTGATCAAACGGATGAATTTTAGAGTAATTCCAATTGGAGGATGTTCGTGAGCCTTTCAAGATGATTGTATCAAAGTTTCAGATTTTTCTACCTAGCCGTTTGACCTAAAGGCCAAGGGCGCAGCTTTCCTAGATTGACGTTTCTAGATGTTTTGGGTATTTTGGAGGTCAAGATGATATATTTTGAGGAAGATTTCTTCTGAGGATTTGTAGGGGACGACTTCAGCTTGCAAAAGAGATCTTTTAGGACCAAATCAGAGTTGTGAACAGCTTGTATGCATGAATAAACATCCTGATAGCACTTGAAACAAATCGTACCGATCTGCGAATTCACGAACGAAAATCGTGGCGTTTGTTGGATAAAGTCATTGTGGTTGAAGAAAGTAATAGGAGGCTTGAGAGTTGTGGGTGGAAGTGGTGGTGGTTGTGGTTGGATGGACAAGAGGTCAAAGAAGAAGGCTGATGAGATTGCAACATTGTTTCACCTCTTTGTCCAAGAAGTGCAGATTTCCTTTCTTAACCTCCTAGAAACACTATCAAGTAACCAAGAAACTCCAACCAAACAATCAAGAAACCAAGAAAGAACACTATTGTGAGACCGAGAAAGTTCAAGTTGTGTGTATTTCAACAATCTTCTGTTGGTTAGTGTCAGCTTGGCTTCTTTTTCATAAATAATTTTCCTTGGACCATGGATGTGGAAGAGTTACATAAATCTGAACTGATTTTCTCAAATTTACATGTGCGTTTATCTGCATGTTTGTGGCTGGGCGATTTAACCTAGTCAAACATCATTTCCAGTTCGCTGTTTTGATTCATCTTCTACGTGCTTAATCCAAAACGAGCACTTGCTTCGATAAAGAGACATTATTAGCGCGTAAGGAAGATGATGAGAAAGTGGCGGTGGAGCAAAAAGAAAGGAGCAGCTGGAGGACTCATTGTTTGGAGCCATTAGTTCCCCACTTGAGTTTGGGAAGGAGGATGAGGAAGAAGTTGAGTTGTAGTGGATTTGTTCTATGTGAACCATTCTGCCAATGGCATGCTTTCGGTTGAGGGAGAGGATGGAGAGTTATCGGATGAGGAGACTCAGGAAGCGAAACCTGTCCTGGTGGATGAGGAAGAGAAGGTCAAACAAATATTGCTAAAGCTAAGGAAGCTGAGGAAGGAGGAGGAGGAGAGTTTGATCTCGGGTTCAGTTTATACGTCAAGATTGAGAGCTCAACATGCTGAGCTGAACCCAGGCACAGAATGGGCTCAATTTGATCCAGGGTTGCGGGATGGTAGTTATTCTGATGATGATCTCCTTGGAACGAATGAGGATCTTGTTGCGAAGAGCAGCGCAAAGTTGTTGTCTGGACTTCTTGAATATTCAGCACTTGTAAATGCAAATGCAGAGGAACCTTCGAATGGTCCGATAATCTCAGTGCACCTTCATAGAAACGGGATCTGAGAAATGGGGCTTGCATCCATAAGGCTGTTGATGAAGGTTGCATAAATGGTACATCTCTTTGTACATCTCCAACCAGAACATTGTTTGCTGGTGGTGGTTCAGACAGCGGGATTGTCAACAGTTACAATGGAGAGGAGTTTTTAGGGGCAAGAGAAAACCCATCGAGAATCTTACAACGAAAGTAGACATTCTCAAGTTCAACGGCGATGCTCAGATACATGTTCCATCATTTACTGTTTTCTCCAACTGGCCTCCGCTAAGAAGGTCCATACATTATCCCCGCTGTTTGGATTTGAGTCCCGGTGGAGGTTTCATGGCCGGATTTGAGTCCCGGTCGAGGTTTCATGGCTGTGGGAAATGCTGCTGGGAAAGTGGTGTTGTACAAGTTGCATCACTACTATCACGCATACAAGGAATGGTAAGAAAATCAGTTTATGGTCACCATGATCTTGATTCCTTCGTTTCAGAAGATTCGCTTGCCCGTTCGACAACTATCTGATCTGATTGTATCATCTGTTGTATCAATGGAGTCGTGGGTGGCAATTAGTCTAGAAATATGAATGCTTTCATGCCTTTCTTAATGCAGAAATGTTTCTGCAGCTGCTTTTGACCTCAATTTATTTTTGTTCGAAGAATGTATAGCCCCAAACTTAAGATTTGAAACTTTTGGATCATTTCTTTATGTTCATCTTAGTTGTTTGGGACATGATTTCACGCCATTTTTCTCCACATGCACACACCATGCTTATTTTTTACCGTTAAGACCAAGTAAAGTACATAAAACCAATGGACACATGCACACCCCATGCTTATTTTTTACCGTTAGACCGAGTAAAGTACATAAAATCAACGGACAAATGCAGAGGGCGGTGTGCACACCTATGTCACGATATTGAGATATCGAAGTCAAAAGTATGCATTTAGTTATCAATAGTGTATATATATATTGTACAGAAAAGTTCAAAGAAAAGGAATAATGAAAAGAAATAAATAGGCATTTATTTATCGATTCGATGTAAAAAATATGTTGAAGCGGAGCCAGATCACAGTTCATACCACAGTTCGATTCATTGCATTACTGAAGCGAAAACCCGCTACCAATTTACAGAAAGAAAAATTCCTGATGAAGTTCTTGTGCTCAAGTTCATCGCTGGCCCCAAGAGGAAACATGCACCATCTATGCTCTCCGGAAACTCAACTGCTGTCATGTTAGATGCTCCAATTTCCAGCAACTGTTCCAAGAGGATTGTCATGTACAAATTTCTGGAGCCACAACGTGAACCTGCGCAGTAGTTTAATACACAAACCAGTCATACAAAGCATATTGAAGTACCTATTCTTTCTGATTATCATGACCTAGATCACCATTAACTCCGCAACTGAATACACTTTTAACAAAAATGAAAAAGAAACCAGTGTTACCGACTCCTTTTGAGAAGAAGTCAAGTAAATTACCGAGTTTTGCATCATTCTTTAGAATTAAACCAATGAACCCGGTTATATAAAATTGCCCACAACTGAACACACCGCTAAATCCATAACAATATCTTACTTATAACTCTCACCTTTGGAATCAGCTATCTCGTACAGCAGATTGGTCAACCCTGATCAAACACCTGTGGCAGTTTTAACATCGGAGTCTGTCTTCTCCTGGAAGAGGTTCAGCAAAAAAACGATGATAAGTAATACACAGACCACTGAGTTTATAAGTAGCAAAGATGTAGAAGGTTGACTTCAACCCCTATACAAGCTCAGAGTAATAAAGATTGAAAAGTTTCAGCACTTCTTGAGCAGTAAAAGATGTCAGGGAAGTTACAAATCTTGTTATGCATCATGAAAGTTACAGGACCAGAACTACAATAAAATGAAAATTAAGGCAATTCCCTATATGTCCACTACAGACCTGAGATGGAAGGTCTTTTCGTATCTTCCGAGTGGGAGTCCTCATTGTCACAAACTCTTCCGCGGCTGTCGGGTGAATTCCAATTGTGGAATCTAAGTCAGCCTTCGTCAAGCCAGCTCTCACAGCAACTGCAAATCCCTGTAATTTAACACATGTACTGCCACCTGAGCTCCAGAAACTAAAATCCTGATTTGGAAAAGAGAAAAAAACAAATAAAAGTGAAATGCATTTACCTGCACAATTTCCGGTGAATCTTCTCCACACATGTGTAACCCCAGAACTTTGTTTGTCTTTGCACAGACTATGAGTTTCATGAAGGTTCGATCTGGCAACCCTGAGACAGTAGCTTTTAAGGGCCTGAAGTTTGATGTGTAGATATCAACATCACCATACTGTTCTACAGCCTGCAAAAGCAACTACAATTTAAGACAAGAAGCCAATTTCGCACAATTGCAGATATACAAAGATAATTTCCTCACCTGTTCTTCGGAAAGACCAACTTGACCAATTGGTGGCTGTGAAAACACAGCAGAAGGAACAGCTCTACTCAAAGTGAAAAAATATCATTAGAATATACACAATTCACACATTCGCTAGTCTACTTGCATAGATTTTATGGAATACCTCCAAAGTTATAATATCAGGTAGCTAGGATACCTGTAATCAGGTTTTGTTGGTTCATTCAGAAAGAGTGTTTTTGCTATCGCCCCTCCCTCCATCAAAGCAACGGGAGTCAGATTTACTCTATCTGTAACATCTCCAATAGCCCAAATTGAAGGAACTTCTGTACGGGAGAATTCATCAACCTGAGAAGCAAACCAACTCAAAAACCTTCAGAATATAACTCTATATCTCTTGCCCAGTTTTTGGTCACTTTTACCAGGAAAGCATCTAACAAAGAAAGCAGAAAACAAAGCAAAGCTTAAACATATCAAGGAACATTACCTCTATTGCTCCATTCTTGGACAGTTTTACACCTACGGCTTCCAATCCCAAATTCTGCATTGCAGCACAAGTTCACATTACTAACCCATAAACAATACATCTTAATCATTGAACTGTCAGTATTATATTTGCAGAGTGCCACAACCAGGCATGAAGTCCCAATCAAATATTTCTAGACAACTGTCATTCATTTGGTGGATTGTTACACCTATGCCTTGATGGTGATAATCTTTAACTATAAAATCGATATTTCCAAGTTCAAACCTTTGTATTAGGCCTACGTCCTGTTGCAAACATAATGTGTGAGAACCCTTCAATTGTTCCTTTGTTGGTCTTCAGGGACAACGAACCATCAGCTGCCTTTACAATAGCCTTAGGGGACTCCTCTGCATGGAACTCGATTCCTCGCAGAGCCATCTGCTCTTGAACAAAATCTCTAACCTGCATGGTTACAAAAACACATATTACACCTTCAGAAAGAGACTTCAATCACGAAAATGTGTAACCAAACCAATACTGGCAATATGCATGGTTCCTAACCTCTTCATCAAAACCCCTTAAAACTTTCTTCTGCCTTATAAATACATGAACATCACTCGTCAAACCATTGAAGATGCCAGCAAACTCCACCGCGATATAACCACCACCAACTATTGCTATTTTCTCAGGCTTGGTAGGCAAATCAAGGGCAGCATCAGAATCTATTGCATATTCACTTCCGGGAATTTCAGGAATGAAGGGTCGCCCCCCAACCGAAACTAGTATATGTCTCGCAGAATATAGCTTCCCGTCTACATCAACCGTGTGTGGGTCCACTATCTGTGTCATTGGTGACAAAAACACAACATTAAGAACAACATTCCAAGTATATCTCGTGTTCCTGTCACAATGAAAAATTTCTCCTATATCTACAGCGTTGCATACTTTACAGAGAAAGAGTTTTTCCCCTGCCACACCTTTCCGCGGCCTTCGATCAAAGTGACATTTGCATTTTTGAGAACGTTTTTGTAAATCCCGGTGAGCCGCTGTAGCTCAGCATTCTTGTTGGCTATCAATGTGCTCCAATCATGCTTTGGCTCAGTCTCATATCTCCATCCAAACCCATTACTCTCTTCAAACTCATGAGCAAATTTCGAAGCGTAAACTAGTAGTTTTTTCGGTACACATCCACGAAGAACACACCTTCATTAACCAAAAACAAAAAACTCAGCATAAAATAATAATAATAATAATAAAAGCAATAACATTTCACAGAACCCAGAATCCAAAATTGTTGAAAAAGCTGAATAATTCAATTCCCAAACACCCAATTGGGCTCCAAAAGTTAAAGACTTACGTGCCGCCGACGCCGCCGGTGTTATCGGAAGAGATGGTGGAGAAGGGGAGCTCGCAGACGGCGACTGTAGCTCCAAAATTGGCGGCAAAGCGGGAGGCGCGGACGCCGCCACTGCCGGCACCAATAGTGAAGAGGTCAAAGTCGTAGTGGCGAGTGGAGTCGGCGCCGTTTCCGGAATCGGCGGCGCGAATGGAGAAGTGGCGGAGGGAGTTGAGGTGGTGGTGGGGGTGAGAGGTAGAGGTGCGGCGGAGGTGGGAGAGAGAGGTTAGGGTTTTAGGAAGAGAGAGAAAGGAAGGGAGTTTTTTGGAGAAGAGGAGGTTGTGGAGTGCCGGGGAGGAGGAGATGGTGGTGGTGAGCTTTGGGGTGGAGAGAGAGGTGGCCATGATGAAAACGTAAGCGCCTCAAGCTTTGGAACTTTGGTGACTTTGCTGCTTAAATAGGGGCAGTTGTGTTCACCTTGTTTTCGTGTCAAATTTGCACTCGTCGACATCGCGTGTTATCTGAGCTTAAAAATTCAAACCCAAATTTAACATGTTCAAATAAACGTATTACGTGAGCCGAATCGTTTGCATTCATTAAAAACAATATATATTACTTGAATAAATAATCAAATAAAACAATAATATGAAATTACAAAATATTAACATTGAATTCGTAAAAATCCACAAATAATTTCAAAACGCATCATACCACTACAAAATATCAAATGTACGTGCAAAATGAAGTTTTTGCTTTCAACTTTGTGGAGTCTTCCTCAAAAGGAGGGGAGGTTGATGTAGAGATTCTGGACATGGTGGAGATGCTGTGATGTGGGGCCGCGATGGCGTATCCTTTCACATATGAGATTACAGTCCTGTTCTCTTAAGGTTCTTATTTTGAAGAGTCGTGAGGATCAAATCTATATTAGTCGCAAAATTGTATGCAACTGAATCTAAACGAATATAATATTGTGGCTAATATGCAATTAGTCATTACAAATTCTCAAAATGAGAGTCCCTACACCACCCCCTTTGAGAGTTCATTTAAAAGAAACTCTTTAGCGTTTCTCATATTATTCTTTAAAATTTTAATCGCTGAAGTGACAAAAAAAGTGCCCCAATTTAGAGAACGTGCATGCATCAGGTTGTCAAGAATTGTTGATTGGGGCTATTCAGAGCCAGATAGTTGTAAATTCGCGTAACATTGTGATCTGGAAAGCTTCTGATCTTGCATTTTTGTTGTATTTGTTTGTAGGTCGATAACAATGCTGCTGCAGATATCCCATTACCGTGTAAGCGTCCAGTTTATGGCTCGAAGAGAGTTCGGGTGCCACATTTTCGCAGTACTGCAATGGTAAATGTTTAAAGCTTCTCTTGTTACCATGTCTGATGTGCTGGGAAGGAATTATCCAAGGTTGCAAAACATACACATTTCCTTAGGTGGTTTACAAACCATAGGGATTAAAGTGAATCGAATCTAAACCGTAGGGGCTAATTCGAAATCTGGAACGACTGATTTACCCTCGAATCCATTTGCTCTGTAGTAAGCAAGATACGAACGAACGCTTACTTCCCTGTAAATAGGCTGGTCTCCAGAAAGAATCTCCTTGATTGGTCCGATGGGTTTGATTCTCTCGGTTGGATAGAAAAAACATACAGCTGATACTCTAGGCCCCGCTGTTCCTGCCAGTACCCTGTGCACTACGCTTTTGAACTTGCCGTTGGAGATAAACTGCGCACAACATTGAAGATGAATGAGTTCTCATGCAAGATGATCTTTGTAGTTTTGTGTCTCACTCATCACGTGATTTTGACATTCATGCTATGTCTCTCTCGTTATGTCAGGATGGTAATAAGAACATAAGAGAGACAGAGAGGAGATGTATGAAATCGAGACAGAAAAGTTTCTTCTCAAGGAATTATTAGGATGATGAAGAATAATGTGTTTCTCTGTCTCTGTCTTCACATAATTTGACGTGCTCTTTTTATCTATCTTGTCATGTCAGACTGGTGACGAAAGAGACGGAGAGATCTATGACACTAAAGATCTATTTTTGACAAAATAGGATGATGAACTTACTTGCAGAAGATCACCGACATTGGCCACGAGAGTTCCTTTAGTTGGAGGAACATCAACCCAATGACCTTCGTGGAGGACTTGCAGGCCGCCAGTTTTGTCTTGCAAGACTACGGTAAAAGAGGAAGGATCTGAATGCCTGGATGTGTTGAGGGTCAGCTTGGGTTCTGGACAGCTCGGGGAGTAATGGAGCACCAGACTTTCAACCTTCAGGAACTCTCTGCGTTCCAGGTAGTCAGCGCTAAGCCCCAAGGCCTCCGAAAGCAAACCGGATAGCACATTTCCCAGGTTCTTCATGTGCTTGGTGTACTCCTGCACCGCCTCTCTGCGAATCAACCAATCTCTCAGATTATCCGCTAAGTTATGTGATTTGACTATTAATATATATGTACAAGCAGCTTGAGGAGTATGTACCTGCAAACCGATGGAATGTTCTCGGGTTCCAATGGACCGTCCACGAAATCAAACCCTACCGAGTCTCTCCAAACTGCTGCTTTCGTTGCCAACGGTTTTACACTGCTGTAGTATGCCACTTTTTTATTATAGTCACGAGAATACCAGTCCATCCTATCCTCCTTCGGCTGCTCATGAAATCGTCGAGACCCTTCTAACGCCTTATCCATCGCCTTCTCCGGAACTCCATGGTTAACCATTTGAAAGAACCCCCACGTTTCGCATGCTTCACGAACCTCCTTCACAATCTGCGGACGTCGGAAATCTTGATCAAAGCCCTCAAAGTCTATGACAGGAACTCGTAACTCTGTATTTTTTATTGCCAAATCTGAAAGTCTATCTGCTGGCTGGATGAACATCCTGGGGAGTTTTGTCAGCCCTGTGTCCACAAGTCCTTTTACTCCAGCTTTTGTTTCCTCAAAATCCTTCATATCCTTGGTTATGTCATAACTCGACAGCCCGTTTGCCATCTTCGCAAGCTGGGGAATGACGCTGCGGAAGTATGTTAGACGCTCTGCAGATGCGATTAAAAGAAGCAGAGAATATGAAGAACAATTTGATGAGAATAATTGATTTAAAGTAGTACCTTTTGATTGAAATATTTGAAGAATATCAGAATGTTGCTTTGATACCGATGAGTCGATGACTTCAGTACTGTAATTCTGACTGAGAGGGAAGGGACTTTAAGACTCCAAACTGTCATTACATTTGCAATACATTTGGAGTTTGTATTAATTTATTTGGCATCTTAAAATGGTAAGGGAACTCTCTTGAAGTGGGACTCATGAACTCTCTTAGAGTGGGCTCTCTATAGATTTTCTGCTACCTCACAGTTTAACTTCAATTCCTATGTCAATATTATAAAACATTGTGTCGATAAACATGAAGTGGCAGAGAGTCCATGAAGAGTCTCAGCTTTTAGCATTTCTCTTTGATAAAATAATTGGGGCTCATGGATGTTTTGTTTTAGCATCTTGTAATAATTGGGGGACAAATGAGTACAAGTCAGAGAATGTGTACACTACAGATTGGCCCACTGCAATTTAGATGAATTTTTCTAATTGAGCATGCAATATGTTTAAGAAATCCCTCCCCAAACGATGCTTGCATTTTTAATTCCTTAACGAAAGCTGACTACACAATGCACGATGAACGGTTGAGATGAATTGATTCCTAGGATCCTCACAAAGATAAACCTTGATGTTTGTTCAAGCAGAGGACAACCATAGTTGTTGCAAAAAATGAAAGTCATAAGAGGGTTTGGGAATGAATGGAAGTGGAAGTGGAAGTGGTCATGGTGCTTAAGACTTGAATATTACATGATGAAAATGGTGCTTAATCACATGAAAATGCATATAATATTCTTCACACCCAATTCCTTTTTAGTTGTAACTTGTAAGAACTTGTAAGGTATGAAAGAATGCAAGCTCGTTTGAAAATGCTTCTTTCAAAATCACTTATATTTAAAAGCACTTATATTAAAAGCACAAAAATAATTTTAAATGCAAATGCTTCACTAAAAGCACTTAGACCATCTCCAAAGAAGAAGTCAAATATGTCCAATGGGACTAAAAGAAATTCAGGTGTTCTCTAATGGAGATGCCATATATGATGTGGTTGCTTTCTAAGAGTCTTTTTTGACACACCCCGACCAAAAATATCCAAACAACCGAATCGTGCTATGCTGGCCTACAATTGAAAAGTGATGAAGGCATAAAGTGATGGTAATGTGAAAAGTGCGAAATAATTTAAATCTAAAGTACGCATATGAACAGAGTTGAAACCCTTATCACACAAGTGATGTCAGAGTATAAGTAAATTGCAATAAAAGATAAAGTAAGCATTTTATACCAAACGGAGTCTTCTGCAATTTAATATGACATAACCATTTTCAGCAATCCATATACGGAAATGAAGCTGAGAGGAATCGAGCTCAGAAAACCATAAGGAAGCAGTTTAGGGTAGTTTGAAGCCTTACCTTCGCCGTAAACGGAGATATTCTCGCCGGGAAAATTAGAGTCGCGACGGAGCTCGCAGTTTCAATTTCTCAGGAAACAGGGGCCGTATGTGGATTTGTTGGGAGGAGAGGGGTATCGTGATGGTGGTTTAGGAGGTTCCATCGCTGGATATCGGCGGCTCCGCCGTCTGTATTTTTGGGGTCTGCAACGGGGAAGACGAGAGAGTTGGGAGAGGGGGAAAGAGTTTTGAGGTGTTCGGGAGAAAAGTGAGATGGAGTGACAGATATTTTTCAGTGTGGGGAGGGTACGAGTGCACCGGGGGAAGCAGGACCCCCACCTGGGTGGGTCCCACAGGACATAAACCCAACAAAACTGAATAGTGAGATTGCTAAAATGCCCTCCAACTTTGTAGTTCCATGATTCTGCTTTTCGTTTCATCTGCATCTATGACGAGTACTATGAGAGTATGCGTGTGTATATGTATTTGGGTCAAGCCTAATTAATAATTACTTAGGCACAAATCTTAATTATAAAATCTAACGAAGACGGGCTTACTTGCCTACTTGCTTAACGAACTCAACAAATAAGTCATCCAAATTACAGTCTGCAACCCACTACCATTTTGCCTCTCATTAGGAAATGTGCTTGAATCGTCCGATTTACATCTCGTTCGCACTCATGTGTTCGTAAAAACACATACCACCTAAAAAAAAGAGAAAAGGGACAGAGAGTGACAATGACTCAAATGTCCACGTAAGAATTTCATGTATAATTTCCACTTAGCCCGTAAGGGGGATTTTCGTTCGTTAGGGAATAGAATAAGATTGAATTTTGGGACTGGATATGACAATTCAATTGGCCACATCAGTCATCAAATAAAGTTTTGACATATTATATTTGACATCTCTCTTAGAGATACTCTTAACTTATAAATGGTTATTTGAAATTATTTTTAGTTATTTTAAAAACACTTTCAAATAAGTCATCAAATAAATATTATTCTCCAAATTAAAATATAAAAGAAAACAAGTAGAAAACTTGATTTCAGTTTAAGGAAGTGTAATTAGCACTCCAAAAATCTCATTCTACACTCTTCACAAGTGTATTTTTCTTTTCAAATAGAATGTTTGAAGTGTGAATGAGATTTTTGGAGTGCGAATAATAATTCCCTCAGTTTATCATAATAAAACATCAAGTAATCGAGCATTGATATTTAAAAACTGAGACTGAGAATACAGTGGATAACACAAGTACACGAGTTTGATTCAGAAATGGGAAGCTTTTACTACAAAACATGAACTAGAAATTTTTACATTCCTCCATCATTTGAGGAACACTGGTGTTTGGCTTAGAGGGACAATCCTGACTCTTCGTCCTCTTCGAGGGAGGAAGTATAGATAAAGTAGAAGGTCCAAATGAGACCAAACACACCAAAGAGGATCCAACCAAGAAGGTTGTTGCTCAATCCGAATGGAAGCCCTGTTCCCTCGGTGCTCAACCTATCGTCCACCAAAGCCATGGCGGGACTTGACATGGTCGCCGCCATAGCTGCGGCCGCCAAAGATGCACCCTTGGCCATGTTTGAGTTGCTCTCCTTTTTTCCTTCCATGGAGCAGCTCACTCTTCCCTTTCTTGCAAGTGACGGCAAAGCTGAAATCATATTCAGAAACCAATTAGAAGAAGAAAAGAAATGTAAAATCAAATGTCAATAAGTCTCATAAAAAAGAAATATCACTGTGACGATATATCATACCACTTAAAATTAAAGAGAATGACTTTCTTAAAACAACAATTAAACCGTTCATGCACTATTGTAGGAGAAAATTTAAACGTACAACAGTATACTAGAGTTGAGATACCGCTAAAGACGCATATCCGATGTGTAAATAAGTTTCTCTCGTAATCAAGAAGCAAAGAAAGCAAGTGTTACCCAAAACAGTTGAGGATGGAGCCCCAACGGATGGCTTGTGCACAAGGCTTGCCCTAGTGACCGACGAGGCTGCAGAGCTAGCAGTAATGGTTGCCATTTGTCCTTAGTTTTGGAGAACTCTAACAAGCTTGTGGGAAATCTGCAGTGGAACTGAGTCTATGACACAAGTTGCAGTTTCATAGGGGCTGTGAGCAATTCACAGATTAATATGATTGGCCTTAAGTCTGCCCCGTGCATCACAAAGGATGGATAGATTGGCATTTGGCAGCCCCTCATTAGATATCCCCTATCGGCAACCACCCAACCATTTTTCTCCACGCGTCACATAATCCCTCAAAAGTCCAAATGGGCCTTTCTTTAGGAAAAATAGTAAAATCGAAGAGATCTTTTATGATACTGATACAATGTTATAACTTCATCTATTAATGACATAATAAGATGTAGAGAAAAATATACACCTAATATTGAATTATTGATACGAAAAAAGAAAGTTGCGGCTTAATTGTATGATGTAAGTTACTCACCTAGTTTAACTTGGTTTTCAGCATTAATTTCGCTTAGAACAATCAAGAGGTTCAGATAATGGGTTTATAACTAATATAATAGCAAATAACAAAATGAATGTGTCTATATTGAAAGATGTTTTGAAACGGTGTAGCTAACAGGTCGAAACAAGTTATGTACACAAAATACGGACCAGCAATACAAAATCCCCCAGGGATCTTATTAATTCCAATTATTTCTATACTTTTTTACTCGGCTCCTAGAAGATTATGGCCGGAAAATTTTGTGAAAAAATTGATCGGAACTTTGCATCGAAGCGTCGTTAAAGAAAGAATTGTGTGAGGCAGTGCAGGTCCACGAGCAAGAAGCAACTAATAATCTGGTGCATGTGTTTTTCAACTACCCTATGCATGAATGTTGCACCGTTGCAGATAAGAGTCGTCATAGTTGACATATTTTCTCCAATAATCCTTGTACCTCGCAATCGCTATGTCCAACCATGGCTTCATGATTCCATCATAGTGTATTACTGCCGCTCGATCAATGTCAGCACGAACCACACCTGAGTTATAACCCAGCCCAAGGATGTGCCACCGCCTGTCCAAAGCTACCGTCTGGTTATAGAAGGTGATCCAACCTAAGGGCAAACTCCCAGCCACCCACAACGGCCTCTTATAACCCTGCAACCAAAAACGAAGCAAAACAAGCATTAGATTGTGATTTCATAACAACATTCAAATATCCACAAGTGGAGATGTATGTACTGTGCCGCGAACCAGACCAGACCATCACATTCCCAAATGTTAAAACCCGAAAAAGAAAATACTTTAAAAATTGTAAAGTAGAAGTTCATATTGTACCGATTTCAAGTATTTGTCGTAGAGTGTAGTCAGATCTTTTCTCCTCCATTCTTGAAGGTCAAACAAATTCATCCCAAATGCCCATGTGCATGCATTGGCATCAAACCTCTTTGCCACAAATGGATCTGAGAAGTTGATGAATGTATCCATCCGAAGGAAGGAAGTTTCACTCTCCCGACAAGTCTCGACTGCTCCATTTACTTTTCCTTTCATATCAACACTCCATAGCCTACTTAGATCCTTTTGCACCACCACATCATGGTCAAGGAGCACAATCTTATTCAATGCCGGGAAGATATCTGGCAGATAGAAACGGAGGTGGTTGAGCTCGGAAGAATATCTAGGGTCACTAGAGTTTTGCCTTAATCTTGTATTGTACTTGGTAGACAACCATTCAAAACCATCAATGCTCTGGACTTGGATTGTGGCTTTTCCAGGAGGATTTAATAAGAACCACATTGAGATTGCTGGAAAATTGAGTGCATCAGTCACAACATGGAAAACAATCTTCTCTGGTTTCTGCACATCATTATGCCAAAAGGAAAGAACAAGTCAACAAGCTTCCATGGTATACTGATATAGTGTCTGTTTTCTTCGTAACAATAAAGGAGAATGTGAAAATTAGGGCCGGGGTTAACTATCATGGTTTTTGGCTAGGAATCTTTTGATTCTCCACTTTAGCCAAAAGAAAAATCATGGGGTCCGGAAATTAAATGAGAAACTTATAACAGAATACTGAAAAGACTGATTCAAATTACCAAGGCAGCAGAAACAGTGGAGTTCACAACCACTGTACATGCCAGAACATTGTCGGAGAAAACAGCATAATGATAGAGCTTTGGATCATGCAACTTTTGCTGGTTAGGAAACTGCCTGTCCTTGGGAGCCAGAGCAAAGTATTCAGCAGTTAGCTGCATAGAAAGACAATGAAGGCCTTTTGGGGTTGTGCTTGAAGCGAGGCTGAAAAGAAATGAGACTTGCTTCTTCTGCGACTGAATTTGCTCTTCAGCATTCTGAGTCATAGCACGAAGCTTTTTGGACATGGAAGAGCAGTCTGGGTATGTACGCCTGGCTTTAGATAGTGAAGACTCCATCTTTCTCATTCTCTGTAAGGCACTGCAATTTAATTTGTTTTAGAGAATATTAATGCTTTGTGACTAAGTGAGAGGTCATAATGGTGTTCCCCAGCCTAAAATGTTTACTGACATAACTATTACATACTACCTTACTGTCAGAACGGTGAATTCAAATTTCAGATTCATTTTTGTTTCAACATCTTTTGTTTTTCTTTCCCTTCTGTGGGGTTGAACATACTTGGAAAGAAATGGAAAAGGGGAAAATAAAAGAGATGAATAGTTATACCTCCTTGATAGATCCGAATCCTTGGTGGCTCCACCAATTGCTCGTTCCACCTCTTTGATTTGCAGTTTCAACTCCTTCACTAAACTTGACTTACTGCTTGGTGGTGCAGAACTCAAGTATGCTTTAGCTCTAATCACTTGATCCTTCATCTCGTTTATCTTCTTTGTAACTTTCTGTAATCTTGAATGTGCATTCTGATCATGTTGAACTGCACGATTAGGTCTTGCATCTTTCTTCCGTCTTATTCTCTCATCTATTACTTTCCGCGACTGAGAGTGTACATTCTGATCTTGTTTGTTCAATTGCTTCTGTAACCAAAACCATATAAATCAAAATACAGACTGCAGAAGGTACACCTTGCTACAATGATTTGTCACATAAAATTCTGAAATTGCGGCGATTTAACAATTATATTGAAGTCTCAAACTTTGGGGTTTCTTAATACCTAAAATGCACAAACTTGACCCTTAAAACTGCATACTCCTAAACTTGTAACAAACAACTTCTACTGGATTATAAAAGACTAAATTTTTCTCTTTTCTTCTCATTTTTTCTATCAAATCTGCTCGTCATATAATTGTGGCACAAAGCATACCTTTCCCCTAGACATGGATGATACTTGTCTCTGCTGAAGTTTCTTATCTCCTTCGTTGCTCTCATATTTGGTTCCTGATATTTGCATTATGCAGACACACAGTAAACAATGTGAGATTGAGAAAGCAGTATATAAACAAAAAGAATACAAACACCAGTCAAAATACACTAACCATTTGTAGTTCTTTCCAACATATCAGTAGCGTCCCCAACATTTCCGGATTCCTTATCAACATGATCCTTTTTAAGAGTATAATTAACTGCAGAAAGCAAATCTGTATCTTCATATAAAACTTTTCTCGGCTCTTTCAAGCCTTCATTCGATTCCTAAATCACAAAAGCGTATCAAAAATCAAAACCACAGATTGTAAAACAAACAACTGATAAATTCACATTGAATCCATATCGCAATCAATTCATCCTTCACTACCTGCTCGACGCTAAGTTTCACACTATCAGTCCTGTATTTCTGCGCCAACAAAACAAAACCCACCTTCAATCTCCAATTGGTTAACAAAAATAAAAATTTGCAGCTTAAAAAACGTATAAATTTCCAATCTTTAAAACATCCATAAAGAAACAATTTTTTCATAATTTGACTAAACCTTCCGGCATCAAACAACACAGACCCTAAACATTCAAAAGTTCATTTTCTATCACTTTCTCAGCAGCCAAACACCACACAATAAAATTACAAAACAAAAAACCGAGATTTGGGATAAAGGATTCATACAATATTCGATAAATCCTCTATGGATTCGTTCCTCCCTGCAAAGCCACAGTTCACGAATCAGTCAGTCTACACAATTGAACAAAGTCAAACAAATATTTACAAATGCACCACTGCATCAGAATTTCATATTTACAATTAGGCGTGAGATTTTTGAGCCTCTGGGAGACGAAGACGACGGGCGCGAAAACAGAGACGCATAGCAGAACGAGGATGAGGATCCTCTGGCATCGACGAAAAAGCTTCATCAATGGCGGTTAGGGTTTTTCTCACTCCTCCAACAGCACATTTCACAGATTTTTCTCAAATCACAACCGAAAAAAATTAAATCCAATGCTTCGATTACAAGAAAACGAACCGGAATTAAAAAAAAATAGCAGGAAGATTAAAAACAGCAGGAAGAAGCGAGAAAAGGAAGATATCGGTAAAAATCTAGGGGTTCTGAATCAGTCCCCTTGATACTTTGCGATTCTAGAGAGAGAGAGAGAGAAAGAGAGAGAGCGCGAGAGGAGAGAGAGTGTGCGTGTTTACGAAATAGCTTGTTCGGCCATGTTCTTGTTCTGTGAGAGAGGTGGATTTTTTTTGGTTTTCTCTTTTTGGAATATATTTGTTTTTTGGATTCTGTTTTGAAAACCAAAAAAGGAAAATCGGATATTTTTTTTCTTTTTTTTTTTTTATCAAAATTTTTATCCCTTTTATTTTCTGTGAGAGAGGTAGGAATGTAGGATGACGAAGGTGACGGTGACGGTGGGGTGGGGTCCACGGTGGATAATGCGGACTACGGCTACTGATCGTCGATTAGTATGACTATTTTGTCTGACTGAGAGTGTGGAAACGTGTAAGAGTGGGATGGTGGCACGTTAAATTCTGTTGTAGGTGATAACAAGAGTGCGGCTGACAATCATTATAAAATTGATTAAGCGTAATTTTCAGGTTAATCATTTGTTTGTGGAAGAATTTTGTTTATGTGTTTTCTCCTTGTTAATGGAAAAAGATCATCGCCGGATTATTTTTTTAAGAATTTTGTGATCATGACTATTCATCATATATCGTGCGATCATAAATTATTTTAAAATTTAAAATTAAATATAAATAATATCTAACGAAAATTGACCCCACGATATACGATGAACGATTAAGATCCCGAAATCCTTAAAATTCCTAAAAAAAAATCCAACCAGGACCCTCTTTCCTCATTAATTATGTTACTCTTTAATTCTTGTAACCGAAAATGGAAAGGATTAATTAATTTCGTAAATGACCGTCATGATTATGTTTTTTTTACTTCCAATTGATCGTTTCAACGATATTTCCAAAACTGTGAGTTTTGGAAAACTATTTTCTTTCGTTTTTTAGTTTAAAAATGATAGAATATTTTATACAAATTTATCTAAATTGTGGCAAGGAGGGAGAAATTGAACTCACGATGTATTTTGTTTCATTTGACCCATTTTTATGATCTTTAAATTGAATAATACAACCATAACAAGTGTCCTAATGGTAACCCAGTGGACTGCAGCTCCCCTATAAACAAAAAATATGGGAGATTCTGGGTTCGATGCTCAAAGCTGGTGAGTCTGCTTAGCTATGGTCACGGGTAAAGTGAAACTCTGAATCGGAAAGAAGTGGATAATTGTGTCTTGCCACCAATTATTCCCTTTTAAGAAAAAAAATTTGACTAACACAAAAGAGAATGAAGAAACAAAACTATACAAAGTGCATAAAAAGAAATAAAATAAGTGCACAAAAATAATTTCTAGTTAGTTAATTATGTCTCAACAAATTTGTTTTATCATGGTTGGAAGGGAAATTTGAATTAATAACTTCTCTCACGCTTGTTCATTTGAATTGTATCTATAATTTCTTATTACTCATAATAAAATTACGATAGCGTAATGAAATTTACATGTCGAATTTATTCACAAGTATGTCAAATTCATGAAAATCTAATGAAATACGATAAACACGAAACTAGTACTATGTTTAAGAGCACGTTAAGCACTTAAACATGCATTTAACAATGGTTATCATTTGGAGTTGAGATCAAGTTTTGCCCGAAACTCATGGATTGCATTAAATGAGCTAAAATGGTCAGCAAGCTGAAATGATGAAAATGTATTCATCAATCATCGTGTGGACTAGTTTGTCTTTGTCGTCCTAAGTCCTAACTATTGTTGTAGGTGATCCAACTCCAACCTAGCTTTTCAAGTTTTTAACCCTAAACTTAGTACTATGATCTAGTGCTATTTTTATTTACCTGTAAATAAGAGCTTTTAGATTCGATTCTTGCTAAAGTCGAAGTTAAACCACATTATTATGACAAGTTTATTATAAGGTCTAGCCCACTTCATATCTCCTTAATGTAAATACTATCGTTTGTTAAAAAGAAAGGTTTTCAACCCCAATTTCCAAAGTTTTTTACAATCTTGAAATTGGATTGAGTGAATTACAAGGTCCCAATACTCTAAACAATTTCACGTCAAAAGCTAACATTTAAATGTTCCTTAAGACTAAAGCAATAATAAAGACATTGATCCGTGTTTAATGGTGGAGATTTAATTGATAAACCACTGACCCATTTCAATTTTATTGGTCAAAACATATCTTAGTTTCGATGTATATTTGAGTCAAGTAAGATGGTAAAGATAGAGTGTCGTCTTCTTGCACTCAAGTTTGAATTTGCTTTTGTGCAGATTAGAGTCATTTACCAAACAGATTCCATCCTAATTGATGTAAGGGAGTTTTGTTAAGTTGGATGACCCGTGTTCGAATCTTTCATTGAACGAGATCTTTTGCAAGGGATGCTGTAAGCTTGTAGTTAAATTGGTTAGACATATTTCCCTCCTTCCAATATCGCTTGTATAAATAAACTTACTAACTCGGGTCTAGTACTATATAAGTTAAGAAGTTTATCTACTCTAAAAAGCTTTTATTTTAGAAGTGTAATTAGAGAGAGATAAACTGAACTCGTGATTAGGAATTGATCCTCCATGACTCATCAACACTGACAAACACCGACACGACCAAAAAAGGACCGAAATTTGTAGCCTGAAATGAAATGGGTGAGGGACCTCACCTCATGGCTTTTGCTCAAGTTTTTTGACTTTAAGCCTGGAAGCGAGGTACTTTTTTCAGGTAAAGGAGAAGAGTGTCACATGGTTCATGTAACACATCTAATCATTTTAAATTTAATTTGAAATGCTTGAAGATCTCGTGTCACCTACTTTCGTACATGATAGTAATTAGTGTATGAAAGGTCGGCAAGAAATTGGATCCATGTGACTAATAATTTAATACTTGTATGTAATAAAAACATATAAATATACATGAATGTGAAATAGAATTTGGGAACGTGACATATAGGATATTTATAATTAATTTATGGAATGTTTCGATACTATTATAGTAAACAAAACGTATTAACATGTTATTAATATATCAATATATATATATATTGATGATGTGTACATTTAAATTACATATTAATAAAACTTATCTTTGTCAACCAAAGTGAAAAGACATTTTTATGTTCTATCATAAAATAAAATTATGAACGATAAAGTAATTTTGTGCAAACTTAACTTTATAGTTTTTTTTAAAGCATAATATATGTATGATTCTAACAAATATCTAATTTAAAAAATAAAAAGAAAAAGAAAAACTCCTCCTCCTTTCCACGTTCTCTCTTTCTCATTTTAAATTAAAAAAGTGTTCACACACACACACACACACAAAGTATGTAGGCAATAAAAAAAAAAACAAATGTATTGTATTGAAATTTCCAAATGACAAGAAAATTCAATTCATTTCAATTTGCTCTTCGAGATTGTAACAAGGCTGCGCATGCGGTTGCTCTTCTATTGGTAGGGAGAATGCTGGTGTCCATGGAACCGATTTGAACTCGGTTGGTTAATCTTTTAGCCCCTGAGGCAAGTGTTGATATGCGTCTTTGATCATCTATATCTATTTATATGAAGGAAGAAATAAAAAAAAGTGATGCTTTCATGATACTCAAATTGCCTTTTTCCCGTTAAGAATTTCGAAAGTTCGTTATTTTTTAAAATATATTTTAATAAAAATAAAGTAAATTGTCATATTCGTATGAGTGTAGCGAGAAGCTAGTTTCCAATAAAATCAGCCAAATCTTTTGAGGAAAAAATTCATTTAACGCGCTGAAAATATTAAGCAAGTTACATGTATGTGTGGATGGTGTGAGGGAACAACCATTTTATGCATTTCTTAATCCTTAACATGTATGTCATTAAGACATTAACAATTGCATTTCAAGAGTGTTGTTATTCCCATCCCAATGTCTTATCTCTCTACCCACTTTTTAATAAAAATTTTAAAGTGATGTTATTCCCACCTTAATGTTTTATCTTTCCACCCACCTTTTAATGAATTTTTTAATTACAAATTTGTCCATTTGCAAAAAGACTGATAAGGACATTAATTATCTTGTTTTGCTTAATTTTTTTTTTTTTTAAAGTTGGGCATGGGAGAAGATTTGTCTACTTTAAACCCTAACTCATATTTTCATCTCCTTTCATTCAGAGAAAGTAAAAAAATATCAATGGACTTATAATATGACTTTTTCATTGAACAGGTGGAAGTGACGCTTCTACGGAAGAGGTAGAAGATTATGTTTCCATTGAAAATGTAGAAGAATAATTTGTGTGTAGGTCATTTGAATTTGTCAATCGTATTTTTGAATTTGTCGTTGTCGAATTCTTTTGAATTTGGATACCTCTGTCGTTTCCATCTGAATTTGCAGACCTTAATTAGTAGTTTTCTTTTACATATTATTTGTTATATTTTTTAAGAGAGAATTTTAGAATTTCATATGTATGTATATATTAAAGGTTATTTTGGGAATAATAGTGCGTGGGGAAATAGCATTTTAATTTTTTAACCTTTTAAAGTGGGTGAGATTACAATGTGGGTGGAAAAATAAGACAATGGGGTGGGTCTAGTAGTTCTCATTTTTTAATTACAATTTTTTCCATTTGTAAAATGACTAATAAGGACCTTAGTTACCCTCTTTTTGTTATTTAAAAAAATAAAAAATTTGGTCATGATAACTATCGAGCTCTATTTAAACGACTTGTCTGCCTTAAACCCCTCATCATCTCATCTTCTTTCATTCAAAGAAAGCAAAAATAATGAACTTAGTTTGGGCGTGATACCTCTCACGCTTTGCTCAAACAATTTTTCTTAATATGAAACAATCATGCATTTTTCTTATGTTAGATGAAGCAGATGAAATTCTATCATGACCGTATCCTTAGTTTTAGTTTTATATTTATATTTTTATATTTTTTTAAGAGACAAGTTTATAATTATATATATATTAAGGGTTATTAATAATATTGAATAACATTTTAATTTTTTTTAACTTTTTACAGTGGGTGGAAATCTAACGTGAGTGAGGAAATAAAACAATAGGGTGGAT